ATGTTCTGGGAATGAAACAGATAAATAGAAAGATACGGATAAACCATAATATACCAACAAACTACAGAAGTGTAATAATTTAGTATACTTTAAAGGAAAAGGTGCAAACTGACAATGGAGATGAGCAGAGGGGTGAATGAAAGCTGTACCAACTCTTCAAAACCTCAAGCAGACCACTGACTCTGAGAAGGACCAGCGTTATACTGAATCTTACATCTATCTTTTATGGTAAACTTAAAATATAAACTTCTCAGATGATTACATATACTGCTTACTGGTGTGTACGGAATATTTTTTTTTCTAATGGAAAGAATCAGGTCAATTTGATAAACAAATTAGTTGTGACAAGTTAAAATAACCCAAATATCCAGAAATGTACGTTTCAAAGTGATTACTTTAATCTTTGTGATGATTATTGTGAGCGAATGACTCTAATAACTACTCATTGATTCATTATCCCATGTGTGCACAGATGTGTGTGATTTCTTTGTGACTGCAGTCTGACCTCTGCCACTAAAAAAAATGGTATTTCTTCTTTGAGTTCAGCTGACAGTAACTCCAGAGCTGTCATCCCATAGAAAGCTCAATGAGATTTTTCCACTTGGCAACAATGTATCAACAGGGACTTAATTCCCAAAATGACTGCCTGTAAAATTCAGACATGAAGTGAAATAAAGAGAGAGACAGACAGACAGAGAGAGAGAGAGGGAGAGAGAGAGGGAGAGAAGGACAACATAATGAAGGCTGAAAATCAGTGGGGCAATGTGTCTCATTGACAGAATGCTGCCGCTGGGGTTTCTCCCTCTTAACTCTCTGGTGTCCACTGTGCAGGGCAGACACCATCTGGCCAGCTGGAATGCAACGGAGCAGGGGGTGGAGGACATTAAGGAGTTTCTGTCATGCAGGGGGATGGGTTATGTCCAAGAGATAGAGAAGTAACAGTAGTGATATAAAGAAGTTAATGCTGATCTGTTATTACATTAAATGTTAATTGTATGACAGCTGCAGAAAATACCGTCAGAAAAAATAACTGATCTCTCTTAGGTAGATAAATGGATTCTGCCAAATATACTAAATATATCTAAAGCTCTGGCAGAGTGTAGCTACGAGTCACTTTTTCCATGTAAAGTTTTTGTATTTAAAGACAGTCACCAACCTATAGTGCACCTATTACACAAAAGGGGGGGCATGTTTTATTCATGAGTGCTTCATGGCAGCATCTGTCACTCATGCAGCTTTTGAGGCTGGTAGACAGGCACACAACACGCCGCCTATTAAAGGACATGTTTTGAATATATCAAACCAAATGTTTCTTTTAAATAAATGATGGTGTCAGGTAGAATTCTACTCTGGCATAAAGCTCAAACAAACTTTGACACAGTTTGGAGTCCAAGGGCTGCCTCTGCTCATGGAAACTATTATGTATGTGTGCATATCAAACAAACCGCTGAACCAAAGCCATGTGCTCATATGCCACACATACAGTTAGCATTTTGGTACTGAGGATGGAAGCAATTCCCTCCAACAGCTTGCTTGGTTTATAAATATGTCTTAGCAGAGATTAGCCTGGGGGTAACCCCTCATACTCTTCCCTGTGGAGTTCCCATTGCTCACACTGTCACATCCCCTCTGCTTTCTATAAATATTTGTACTTCAGAACCTCTTGACTGTGTAGCACAGATCAAACTCCAACTGAGAGCAGCGGAGAGAGGATAGGTCAGACCCAGGGAGAGGGGGTAAATTGGGCTGAGTGGCTGGATCGAGTGTCTAATGTACTGTTGCCAGATATTACAGTATGGCCGCTGCATGTTACTTAACTATCAAGCAAGACAGCCAAGTACAGTACAGGCCAAGCATGCGAGTGCTATTTGCAGTCATAACTAACGTGAGCACTACATTATTTTGTTCTCAACTTTTTTTAAAGGACAAGAAGACCCACATTTAAAAGATTCTTTGAGTACCTGTAATCCCTCGCATTTATCTGGGCTTGGGGCCGACACAAACACGACACCACGCCCGCTTTGAGGCTGCATTGCAGGACACTTCAGCAATTAGCATGACATCAAACCACCAACCAACCCAGAAGGTAATTGCTCTTACTTCTGAGCCACAGACCCCCTGACTATAAATGCATAATAATACAATCTTTGTGTTTTCATTATCTCTCAGCAACTATGATATATCCAATGATCCTCTCGGTCATAAAACTGCTGAGTTACTAAAGAGGCCCACATGGGTCAAACCAAACACTAGCTATAGAAAGTGCATTCTGTGTTTTTCATAACCACAAACATTTTATCGCTAAATGTTGCATCTTATACTTTTTCTTATCCAAAACATTAGTTGTACTTAAGCGGGTTTCTTTACATGAAAGTTCAACTATGGAGAAATGTGTCACCTTTCACACACAGTAAAGAGACAAGGCCTGTGAATCAAAACTCTGCACACCTTGTAAGTTTGTTTGTGGTGTGAGTTATTCAGGAATTGAAACTTGATTCTTTTATGTGGTTAAGACAATGAAAGGGGGGTGTGGGGGTCCGGTAAAAAACAAGATATCTTTATGCAGCAATTCCTTCGTCTGAGAAAAGTCCTGTATCCTCTGAAGGAGAGTGTTTGGTAATAACATCCCCTAAGGGAAAATCCCCAGCCCCCCACTGATACATGCCGTTCAGGTGATATAACACAAACGTAAGTGTATGACACTCACTTTGACTCATACAATGGAGCGTTTGTCTTTTGTTTGGCCCCTTTACATGCGCCAAAGAGAAGGCAGGTAAAAGAGCAATATTTCAAAATGATATTGCTGGGAAAGTGAGAAAATACTAAAGCGCCACTTCCTGTTTTGGCACACTAGCTCCAGCTGCTCAGTTTATAGCGCAGAGAGGTGATAACTCAGGACAACTACACACACTTCATCACATTTCTGTTATTACTCCATCTCACAGCAGCCAAAAAAGTGTTGGTTGTTAATGAGGGACAGTGGACTTTATAAACGTGTGCTGTCATGCTCAGTGTTGACACAGTCTTATTAAACTATGCATCGGTTTTCATTTTCTGTCTTGCTCAACAAGATTTGGATCTCAAAGGTCTCGTGCTACCTGTTGAAACAGAAAAACTGAGATGCCTTGCCGTGAGAATAATGAAATGTCATAACTCTTGAATAAGAAGCCTCAATAAGTTTAACAGTTTCCTCATTTAAGAACAAAGTAACAGCATAACACATTTTTACTTGAATAAATCATTAAGACTTCGATTTCAAGCATTGGGCTAATGCCATAACATAGGAATATAAAATCAAACAAACACATTCTTGCTTGACATCTATTACACCCAACACAGAGGACAGTCAATACATTTGAAAGGTAACTAAACATCACACAAAAAGTCTGAAAGCATCTGGATGACTCCAGCATACTGACACAAACAAATCTGATTCAAATTAGTTTAGAGCACAAACACACACTGGATAATTACTGGAAGGGTTTCCACCACAGACTAGAAGATAAAACTGTCTCCATGACAGTGGGCCCTGACGCTGTTTCAGCTTACCTCACATTCTTTAAATCTCTTTGCTTTCACAGCTGGTTTAGCACCACACCCCCCCAAAAGTAGACTCCCCTCTCTCTGAGACTGCACGGGGAGCAGCCGAAAGTCAAACTATTCCCTACAGTGGGACAACAGCCGAAAAAATGAATGTGCTGTCACTTCATCTGCCTTAACAGAAAATCTGTACAAAACAAAAAAGGCGCATGTAACAAATTGACGCAATCTAAACTTAATGAATGCTCAAACCTGCTGAAAACGAGGCTAATGATCAAGGAAGCAAACAATACAGACAAACGCAATGACAGCTGTCCAATTTGTGCGTTACACTGTTAGACACAAGACAACACCTCTTAGCCTCATATATAACACAATCATGGATGGCATTTTCATGAAAACTGTAAAACGCCCTTTCACAGTGTTAACGGGAAGCACGCAGGTTGCACAAAAAGATAAACTGCCTATTCTGACAAAGTGACAACATACCTGCGAGATTTTACGTAAGCCTACTCCAGCGAGCAGGAAACGACATACACTGACGTTTTTATCACAAACCCCTGTTCAAAAACTGCACACAGAACGACGGGAAACCACATTAAAAGCACATTAACCGTGTTTTGGAAAATTCATGACAGCGCTACGGAGCACATCACTCAGCCAGCCGGCAGCTAACGTACCGCGGGTTAGAGCGCCTTCTTGACGCTTGCATCAGAAAGCAGAACTTAAATAAAACTTGCCTTTTTTCTGAAGTCAACTGGGCTGAAACTACTCGCTCTCTATCGAAACTCAGAGAAGACACAGGATTCCTTACAAACCGACCGTCCTGCAGATACAACAGCGAGTGCTACTTGTAGGTCTGGTCTGTTCAAACTTAAAATGCATTCTCTACTCTGATTGGTTGAAACCGCGCTCTGCGCTGCATTCACATGTTCCTGGTAAACTAGTATTCTTGTCTGAGTGACGTGTAAATGCAGCACGTATACACGCACATGCTTCCATTTAGCATCAACGACAATCGTAGGCTTGATTTGCCTAATGCTTTATTTCAGCGTGTATAGACATAATAATTTAAATCTACCGCTGTGTCGTTGTTTTACTATCTTTAATTGGTTTATTACTACTTACGGTGGTTTATGACAGACTTACTAAGATACGTCAAATACAAGCATAGTGTCTTCATCCTATCTCTCACTGTTGATTGCAAAAATTAAGTTTGATTAAAATTCATTATTATATTTACTATCCTTTACTTTTATACAAAGCAGGTATCCGTTTCAGTATTTACAACTGTGCTGCCGTCATTCTAAGTGCAAGAGAGTGCAATGGTGAAGTGTTGCAGCGCCCTCTAGTGTTAACATCAAGACAGTGTGAAAGCCAGAATAGAGCAGAAATCCACTGAAGCATGCTTTATGTTCACATATAATATTTAGCTAATTTCTTTAACAAAAAAAAATCGCTAGTATTTATGTTATTAAAAATAAAATTTTATTTAAATTTTCCCCACATTTTTGCATTTTTCTTTTGCGTTTTTTATTTTTTAAATTCATCTTCATAATTAGAACTAAGTACAGATATGTTGTTTTTGACATCCTCTAGTCTCTATTGTTGATTACGCTGGTCCATTCCTCCTCGCCAGTACATATTAGTTGGGTAAAATCAGTCCAACCTGTGAAACAAACACTTACTGGTAAATATTTTCAGCTACTGATAACTGCAACCCATCACCACAATTAATTTTTTTCTAAAATTAAAAATACTCAGTAACATCAAGATTTAACTGAAAAGTTGTTAACGCTTTCTAATATATTACAGACCTTGTCTGGACTCAGTGGGGGGCACATCCAGTTGTACAAATAGTAATGAACACTATTGTCACTTATAGTGAACTTGAGCTTTTCCAGAAAACTCATGTTATTCATCACATTGAGAGCAGTGAAGATATCAAAGCCGTTCTGTCAGGGAGAGAAAACAACATTTATGCTGACAGCACATTTGCAAAAATATGCACATGACAATAATCTAAAAACATTTAAGCAATAATGAATGTTGTTTGATTAAAATTTTCTCCAAGTTTATTGGATCTCAGGTGTTATTGGAGTCTTTCAAGTTCATATTTTCAATGACATATTACTGACAATATCAGTTCATAATAAAATGTACTGGTGTGTCTCAGATACATACCTATAGAATAGATGCCTATCCTTTAAAAGGTCTTATGAATGAAGTGAATTATAGTAACACACACTCACACATTTAGCCAAGACCAGAGCGTCCTCCATGAGCTCAGTCAGCTCTGTGGCAGACGAAGCAATGTAGAAGAGATGAGCTGCGCTGAGAACGGTGTGGACAGGGTGATTCAGCACTTTGTAGGAGATGCTATAGAAACTCACCACATCTGTCAATGAACCAGTGTCACCCTGTGTGTGAGGTAGGAAGGTCAATCAATTGTTAACAACTGCAGAACAGCAAGGAGAGTTCTGTCTATGAAGGCACTTAAAGTTGAGAGACAATGAAGTCAGACCTCCACCACGTAGGTGTAAATCACATTTTCCTTTGGCATCAACCAGTGCTCTACTTCCTGCAGAGACAAGAGGGGACTGAGTGGAAATTTGCTCAGATATGTCTGTAAAAGTGTATGGATCCCTGGTATGTCGTCTTTGGTCATAGGGCGCAGACCCAGTACTTTGGTCCCCTGTACACAAAAAATCGAAAGAAAAGAAAGGATACATTTGGAAAATGTGTTGGCTTTGCGCATATCAATGAAAATGTCATGCAGTCCAGCAATAATCACATTTGGCCACTAGATGACAGAACGCACTAACCTCGGGCAATCTGTTGAATTTCAGAGCTCTCTGAGAGCTCAGGTTCTTCCTCAGACCTGGGTAGTTGACCTCCATCAGCTTAAGGGGATTCAGACGCCGATGTAATTGACTAAAGGGATTAGTTTGTGAATGTGTGAGGAACGACAAATGCAGATGCTGCATCACAGAAAATACCAAAAATGTTTACTCAGTAGTTAACTACTTAAGTTGATAGACTAGATCGTAATTTAAGGCTATTCGACATGCCAGATACATATCAAATGTTAAAAAGAAAAATTCCATTACTTTTATATAATTCCCAAAGTGAATATTTGAATGAAAGATTTGTATATGAATGAACCGTCTGTGACTGCTACCTGCATGAGCTGAGTGGTGTAGGAAGTACTGTTCCAGCTGTGTAGACAGCCTGATTGAGGCCCTGCTGGTTGACCCGCCGGGTGAGTTCTCGGATCAGGACTGGAGTCATACGCTTGCCGCGCAGCTTCTTATGAACACACAGGAACATGACCTGGGCCACTCGCTTCTTCCTGCATAATGCATGTCGAGCATGTCAAGTTACTCCTTGGAAAACTTTCCTTTTATGCTCTGAATTCTAATATTTTACACATCACATTTTACACAGCGCATATCTTTGAATATATTTAGGAGATACTCACGTCCCATATATGCAAACATCAGCAGGAATGGCAGCAATGAAGCCAACTAACTTCTTATTGGTGTTTACTCTCACACCACAGTTCCACTGAAACTGCCAATTTGGAGGTTGCAACGCCCTAAGGATAAAACCAAAAAATTTTTTAAAAATGAGTTTTTTTTTTCTTGGTGTCAGGAGTAAAGCCCTGGACCACTTCTTGGAAAGCAAATATTTTAATATTTTATGAAAACATTTATGGTATTTCTTATGCAAGTAGCCCTGCGGGTTGTGAAGCCATTATGAAGATCAATGAGTACAGACAAAATGCAAAGGTAAGTAAAGAGATTAGGGCAGTCTACTTTGCGCTTATATGACATGTTGAGCTAGATTAGTGAACTGAGATGGAAAATGATTCTGCCCTTTGACGAAGTTCAGGGCTTTAATTCAGACTCAAGCCAAAAGCTTGAGTCTATAAAAAATGTATGCATGCAACACACGTTAATCAGTGTTGGACTGTAGCAAAGGACATGCCTGTCTTGTTTAGATGATCAATCAAACGTTTAAAAATCTTTTGATGCAGAACATGTACGTGTCAGTGTGCTCAAAATTTACCACTGTAGATACTCCTGAGAAAAGTCGAATCTGATTGTGTTGTCGTCCTCTTCCATGTAGTTCTCATTAAGTAGACTGCAAAGTGCTCTGAGCTGAAGCGACAGAAAAACACTGAAATAAATAAGATGTGTACAAAATTTTGAATTTGCCACCTCTACTGTGAAAATTGGTTAGTTTGGCATTGTGACCGCTTTCTCAGAGCTGGTTGTAATTAAGCTGTCAGAAAATGTTTCAAAGAAGGAACCCCCTGCTTTTTTAATCAATACTCCAGTGGAAAGAAACTGATCAACAAAAGAAAAGACATGCCAAAATAACCTCGCTTTGGTCTGCTTAGATACATTTAAAACAGGCCTCTTCAATATGAATAGAAGCAAAAGTGAAGATTAATACTGATTTTGATGCATTGTCAGACCAGACAAATAATGATAATGAATTACTTCTGAGAAAACTGATTTTTCAAGAGTATTATGCATTTTTTATTAATACATGACTTAACTGACTGAAAAAAAAACTCACCACTGTTGGGCTTTTCAGGTCCAGAGTATCCCAAGAAAAACCCTGTGGTAGAGAGTAGGGCTCATTTCGAATACTGTTCACACTCTCTTGTATTGGGCCAAAAGTTGTAATGATGTCACCTGATGACACAAAGGAGTAAACATACTGAATGAGGATCATAAAACTTTCTCTGTGAAGGACTTGAGGTTTGCCAATCTTTTGGAACCTCCATTGTTTGTTAATCTAACAGGCTGTAAAAATCCTGAATGAACAGACCAGAAATGAATAAAGTATTTTAAAGTAACGTGCGCCAGTTTTCCACTCAAAAATTTACACTATCTAAAATAATAAGAATGCTTTACTTCTTACCTAGTTTAGGGACAGGCTGTGTGTCCCAAAAATGGTAGGTATGTGTTTTGGCCTGGTGCAGGCTCTTAGGCAGGTTTGGTGCCATGCCAAAAAGATGAAGGGCTTTTTGGATCTCCTGCTGTTTCTTCTCAGGTAGAGAATCCAGCTGGCATAGAACAGGAAAGTGAAAGAACAGCGTATCAGGATTTGCTCAGGGAACGTGGTCTTCCACTGTCCCACAACATCTGTCAGCTTGAGTATGCATACCCATTCTTTTTCAATTGCAAACATTCCAGTTTTATATATAATACCCACCAAGGTGAGTCATCTCTCACACTCATAGAAAGACACAAACCATGACAAATGGGTCTTTAGGTCCCTCTGGCTTCCAAGCATCTTCTCCCTTTTGCTTTGTTTTGCTCTTTTTAAGACGGTCGCTCTCACCATCAATCAGCTCTTTACCACTAAAAGACATTTTACGCACTTTCAGTTGCTTTGTTTTCAACGCTTTGACTTAAAATGTACTCACAGCAGAGTGTGTCTGTACTTACGAGTCGGTCATTGTCCCTGTAGGGCTGTGGGTGAACTGGGCTGTCCTCTGACACAGTTGCAGTTGCTCAGCTCTTATCTCTTTGAGCAGTAGAGGGGAGGAGAGCGATCGCCTTAGCAGCCCAACCCAACTTTCATCCAGCCAACAGATAAATGTGAGCAACACTAACCATACAATATGACAAAGAACTTAAGTATCAAGATGGCAGCTAAATAGAGACCTCTGGCAGAATAAAACTACAGTAGCTTGATCCAGGAATTGCATTTTAATTAGTTGAGGGGCATTGATTTTGGAGTTCCCACACAGTCCTCAATTTAAGATTCAGCAGTTACATTAACTTTGATCTCCTGCAGATTTAGAGATCGTTGTGAGTTTGCTCAGTAATTCACCTTTGGCTCTGCAATGTTGTTCCCAAGGTGTTGTGATGTTTTTCTACACATAAACGTTCATTACGAAACGAAAATTTTGAAAACCTTCTTTAAATGCAGTTTCAGCATCACATTAAATCAAATCACAATATACAAAATGTAAAAATCTGGAGAAAATAAGTCTTATTGTTAATATATTCTCTATCAAAAATGATGCAAAGATTTGCTTTAGATCAGGGAATCTTAATCTTAAAGTGTTGCGTAATAGAATAAAAAAAACCTCACTTACAATCCAACACACTTTTTACACTCACAAAAGACCTCATAAAATAAATATTTATTTAGCATCGTTGGATGAAATCTATCGTCCAGGGTGTACCCCGCCACTCACCCATTGGCCACTGGATGATGGATGGATGAGATCTTCAGAGACAGCTTTTAGGAAATCATAAAATCACTCTGAGAAAAACAGTCTCTGTCACCTGATCATTCAGGACACTTTTGCTAACAATGATCCAAATAATAAGGGTTTTTTTACTTTATATACCTTAAGGGTTAAGGTTAGGGTATAAACACCAAGATAATCTTTAGTATTTATTCTCCAGAGTATAACTTTTTGGTTTTGCATCTTGTGCATCCTCATGAGGTCTGAACTCTCTAAATCCGTATAAAACTGTTTGTGCCATGAAGGCTTTGATCCAAATGCTTTAAACTAAAATACACATGTAAAACAGAGGCAGCTTGCATGTTTTTCATCTTTAAAAGTGCAGCCTGAAGTTATTTTCGTCCACGGCTCATGCTTCTATGTTATTAGCCTGCCACTCAAAGCTAAATGCCAGAAGGAGAAGAATGCCATCAACACCTGCCATCACTCAGGGGGAGGTAGAAGAGTTAGTGGAAAGTGAAAGAACAACTACCGTTAACAGCACAGAGGCAGAGAGCAAGAGCAAGCTCAGGTTTATCAACGTGGTGCTGCATTCTGCATCCAGCAATTAGTTTGCCAGGGTACCTTTATTCACATTGCTAGGCCAGAGAGGCAGACTGTTTATGCAGAATGGTTGACAAAACCTGACACAGACGACTTGGTAGGAAAGGTTGGAGGTAGATGCATAACACTGAATATGTTGACAGTTAAATTAATTTTTATTGATCCAACAGTTGCATCTAATTAGTGTGTTAAATTTGAAAAAATAGCTGAAACTCATGAAGACATAATCTTTAAATAAGAAGAAGTTTGATATATATAGTATTTGTGATTAGAATATGCCTGCCAAAATCTGCCATTAATGTCACTATGTGATTCTGACATAGAAATTGGATTGATCTACAAAATAGACCTAGCTATTTTCACCCTGTGCTGCTAATTTGCTAAAATTGGTGATGTGCTCAATTGTACTTGAAGATTATGATATAATGAGGATGTAATGACAAGATGTGTTGGTCTTTTTTAATTTGCTCAAATGAAACAACTTTGTGAGGAACTAAAAAGCTTGGACACATGTCAATGTAATCATTATACAGGCAAATTCGTATACTATGTAAGTGCTTAGAATTGGCTACGTCACCTTGTGGCTGATGGAAATCGCAATATTAAATATATAAACTCAAATTAAATCATTCAAAACTACAAAGGAAAAATCATACTGTGCATCATCATATCTGCCTTCCCTAATGGGAAGTATCATCAGGAATAAAGAGGATGGTGCCCCCAGCGGACAGGATTCTGTTCAAAGAGATTTTTTACGTGTTTGTTATGTGGAATTAGATTATGAGAATGGCAGAATTTGAAATAAAATCCAATGCTTCATAGTACACATACTAATTACACATCAGTACACACACACACACACACATATATTTCCTCATACCCAGGAACCTTACATACAGCACTCGTTTATAGATGTATTTGTTTGTTTCATATGCTGGCTGTGCGGTGATGTTTTTGCAGAGAACTGGTTACTCTGTAATGGCTTTCTCTAATGGTCATTATTGATTAATATGTTTTGGGGTTGTCTGTTACCTTTTTATTTGTGTTTTTTGTCTGCCATACCCTGTTGTATAAATAAAATCCTTTGAAGAGGTTTGTGACATGCCTATATGGTGTTTTTGTCTTTGTTTTAGTTAATATTTTTTTCATTTCATTTGTGTGTCTGCATACACGGATGAAATCATAAAGATTGAAACAAACAAAAGCAAAACAATTGAGATGGTTGCAGGATGGAAGGAGCAGATTGAGATGTTCATGCCTGAGGAAAAGTATTTTCTCCTCATTTCTTATTTTAGCACTGTGACATCTCTGAATGAATTATTTTTGCAAAAGCATTTGATACTTCTATCATTGTAGTTAATGTATGCGTGTTGATCTCGGATATAAAAATGAAAGCCGTGTGTTCAAACTTTAGCCCCTAGATGGCACAAAAACATCAAGTCAATTATCAACCACAAACTGTGGTCAGTTGTTGCTCTTTGCACAAGCGTGACTGGGCCAAGTAATGTGCACCTGGTTCATGTGTAAATGAGGGATGAGTATGTGTGACTTTGCAAATGTCAGTGCCTGCTGTACACTCACCCACACCACAGAGCCTTTACTAATCTGTAAATAGATCTGTATGGCTGTGATCTCTCTGCCAAACAAGATCCTCCTCGCTTTCCCTTCTTTTTTTTCAGTGTCTGTGATTGTTGTTTGAGAAGCTGGATGAATGAATACCAACCTCTCTTCCTCTGTGCTGAGTTTTGTTTTTCAGTTTTTGACTTGTCTCTGATTCCTTTTTCAGCTTGCTGTTAAACCAGTGTTTTTGCCTCAACTCATTTCTTTTTGGCAACAGGATGTCAAATAAATTATTACAGCCTTCAATTGAATGACAAATACCTCCACAAATGCCATTAGAATGATAAAACCTCTAAACTATCAATATTAAATATCACTCATTGTGATTTTACCTGTTTAAGATGCATCCAAGTGGTGGTTAGTTTGATACATTTAGACAACCAAACATCTAAATGGCATGCTTAAACAAATGAACCCAATTTTAGTACTGTGTTAACAATAATTCCTATGGCAATGTAAATGTCTAACCTCAACTCAGTAGCTTTCATTTCCAACTACCCAAAGTAACTGGCTAAGTCCAACTATAATGTTACATGAGAGTCATATATACTTCCTGCAAATTGTTTGATTCATCACAAAATGCCTCTATGGGTCATGTACAATTGCAGCAAAAATTATCAACAGATGAGGCTATCTGTAGCTTTTGTAGTCGTGCAATACGGATGCACATCTTTAGCAAGTCCGTTAAGGAAACAATGAGAAGACCTTCCTTTTGGCACCCTATCTTCCACCCCCTTATCACTAATTTTAATGGACTGCCTGGCTTCCATAGGTTACTTTCCTGAGGCTGTATGAACCGTTTTACCATAAAGGAAAGTCTTATGGGTAATATCTATTGTTTTTCAGAGAAATCTGATATCTGGGACAAGATCCTGTAAAGTAAAAACTCCCACTTTTCCAAATAAACCAAATTCTTAGTTACATTCTTTGGTTAAAAGGAGTATTAAATAGTTGTGACTGGATTATCTCTTTTGAAGGCTCCAAACACTTCTGTATATATCTACATGTGATCAGGTTTTTCTGCCTCTTAGGAGAGTATTAGATGTGTCTGGAACAATCTGACCTGCGGGTTGCTCCTAGTTGTGTTGGTCTTGTTGTTGGTGCCTTAACTTTGCTCTGCTTATCAAAAGTCAGGTCAGAGTTAACATAAATCTACTTTGTGGGGGTATCGCGTTTAAATGTCAATATAACCACTATTGTCTGTACTGTCAGCTTTTTCTCCTTTGCTGTATTAAAGTAGTTGTTAACTCACTCAATTATCATTTAATTTATCGAGCTGAAGCTTTGAATTAACATGTCTGGACTAATTTCTTGCTGAATACGAGGTCTAGCTTTAAGAACCTGGCTGTCATAATTATTTGCAACTATTCGTTTCTCAAGTTTTTTTTTACCTCACATTTAACGTCCACATTTATTATGGATAAAAGTGAACTGATTAAAAATGGCTACTGTGGGATTCTAAAATATTGATTTTTGAAACAGGATGAATTGTGATTACAGACTCAATTGCACAGCCATTGAAAGAACACACAGCCTGTCCCTTTGCACAAGCAAATGCCGTGTGTCTGGATATCAACATACTTCCATTTATTACAAGAGAACATTGTTGGAGCTACCGCAGTGAAACAGGGCTGAATGCTTGTGAGGGGGACTGTATTGATCTGAGATGAGAAATTAAAGCACCTGTAAGGCCGAGACTTAGAGTTTACTTGCAATACACTCCCATATAGTTGATGGGATAACAGTGTAGGAGTCTTTAGGTAATAAACAATACCAAATACCAAAATACCAATTTGTTCTTCTAATTAAGCCACAAAAAGCACATATGTTAAATAATTTGATCTTAAGTTAACGATCAGGCAGCACTAATCCTTTTCCTCCATATGTAAAGACATGTTCACTTAAATGGATGAACTCTGCAGCAGGGAGAGCTTGAGTCATCATGAGCAAGCTCCAAGTACAGGGGCAACAAGTTTCAAACTTTAACATCTTATGAGTTCAGCAGCCCAGCATATGATTTGATTTGGCAACAATTTTGAACTAACCTAGAAGCTTTTTGCACAGACAGTTTCCAGAGTGACAACATTAGAGCCATCCTGTTGTGTTTTTCTTTGAGCCACAGTGTTCTCTTTGGCCTTTGCCCG